TTCAGAATTTTGTTTGAAATTTATCTGTTAGAATTTGATCGGAAACTTCAGCTAATTTTTTTTTCAGATGAATTAGAACCAACAAAATTTTTTCACCGGAATTAAATGACTTATTCGGACTTTCGAAAATCATGCGCAAGACACAAGTTATTTTATTTTAATGGTTAGCTCTATTGATTTTTGCAATTACAACCGTAACAAATATCCTAACCGCTGGAACGAAAAGAAATTTGATGCTAGATAAAGTGATGAATGTGGATAAAACTGTGTATAGCAACGTCTAACATTTCAGATGCTGGATAAATTCAGATACAAAGTTCATAAGATACAAATTTAGATACAACCAGAGTTAGGCACATGACCAATTTCTCAATAAAACCAAGGTTACATTCATATACGTTAAAAACTTAAAAGATCACAAAAAATTTAGACTTTCACAAGATCAAAAGCATTAGGAGGCAGTACAGAAGAATCAGATCTTGCTTATTGTCGTAAAATAACATCTAACATTTCAGTTACACCACTGACAACAACTTTCTCTGGTATTTTCCATGCATCATACGAGATATCAATTACAACTGAAGGTATTGATATAATGTGCAGTAGATGTAACAAAAGCGTATGTAGTCCAATGGTTAGGATAATTGCCTTCCAAGCAATAGACTTGGATTCTACTCCTAGCAGAAACATTCTTTTTTTTAACTGATAACACATTTGAAATTAATAACTGAACTTAGAATAAAAAGTTTTTAAGTGCCTCTAACCGACAACATATCGGTAAAATGTGACGTGGAACAGTTTATTGCGAAAATGCCCGATTAGTGCTTCTAATAGGGTAATAACATCTAATAGATACAGCTTGACACATTTGAAATTAATAAATGAACTTAGAATAAAAAGTTTTTAAGTGCCTTTAACCGACATCATGTCGATAAAATACTGATGTGGAATAGTTTATAGCAAAATATGATCGATTAGTGCTTGAAATAGGGTAATAACATCTAATAGATACAGCTTGACAAAAAATAAAGAGAAAGCTTGACAAAAAAAACATAATGTAATAGATACATAAACTATTTGACTGTGCTATCCAATACCTGAACTTAGAATAAAATGCTTTTAACTGCCTATGTGACAGTGTATCAAATAAACATTAATCTTTGTTGGTGATATCATGAGTCAAATTATTTTAAACAAAATGATATTGTTTCAATCAGTAAAAAATGCACTTAACTAGCATCGAACCTGAGTCTCTCATAGATATATATTACATCATTAACAACTTGTTCTTTCATAGAATCATCGTTTATGTGTGCAAACAAAAACCGACAGCATATCGGTAAAATGCTGACATGGAACAGATTATAGCGAAAAATGATCAACTAGTGCTTGAAATAAGGTAATAACATCTAACTGATACAGCTTGAAAAAAAATAAAGAGAAAGCTTGACAAAAAAACATGTAATAGATACATAAACTATCTGATTGTGCTATCCAATACTTGAACTAATAACAAATTTGAAGTTAATACCTGAACATAGAATAAAAAGCTTTTGACTGCCTATGTGACAGTGTATCAAATAAACATTAATCTTTGTTGGTGATATGATGAGTCAATTTTTTTTTTAAAACGACGTTGTTTCAATTAGTAAAAAACACACTTAACTAGCATCGAACCCGAGTCTCTCATAGATAAATATTACATCATTAACAACTTGTGCTTTTATAGAATTGTGGTTTATGTGTACAAATAAAAACCACGTAGCCTTTTATTCATGATCATTTTGCTTCAAGAGATCTTCAAAATATTTCTGAGTATACTTTTAGATTCTAGAATCATACCATAAAGTAAATAAAACTAGGGATTCAAACCGAGTACTAACCAATAGGAGCTCAAGGTGACTCCCACATTCCGGGGCCAAACAAAAGTTAGGGTTTTGACAGTGAATTCGACCTTGACCCCGATACAAAACTCGGAGATTCACGAATTAAAGAGATTGTAAATGAAGCATGAAGCAAACTTCACATCTTTGAATATTTTCCAAAGAAAATAAATTTTGAAGAATGAAAGATTAATGTAGAGGGATGAACGAAATATATGAGACTGAGGATTGATTCGAAGAATATTTGGTAAAATGTATATTTAAGACCATCAAGACTTGGGTTCAACATTAGGTAGTGTGGTTTATTTTTTTTATTCGGTGTCGGTTATAGGCACATAAAAGGTTATTTATTCAAAGTTTATGTATTATTTCAAATTTGTTATTAGTTAAGATATTAAATCACACAGTCAAATAGTTTTCGTATCAATTAGACAGTATAATCCTAGGCCAGGCACTAATCCTACTTGACATGATGTTGCTCAAAAACACTTAAAAGAGTTTTTATTCTCAGTTCAGGTATCAACTGCAAATTTTTTATTAGTTCAGGTATTGAATCGCACAGTAAAATAGTTGAAATATCCATTACACGATATGACCCTAATTAAGGCACTAATCGGTCACTTAGTCTCAAAAGAGCATACTAAAAGATGAGATAATTTGAATCATGAGATGGTGAAAGTAGTACTCGCTTTGTTGAAGCAACAAGCTAAAGATCCAAAGGCGTGGGAGGGTGTTATCATAATTAATCTACACAAAATCTGATAAAGACACAGCATACCATAAGGTAAATAAAACTAGGATTTCAAATTGAGTACTTATCGATAGCAACTCAAGGTGATTCCCACAATCCAGAGTCAAACAAAAATTAGGTTTATGACAGTGAATTTGACCTTGACCCTGATACAAAACTCAGATATTCATGAATTAGAGAGATTGTAAATGAAGCATGAAGCAAACTTCACATCTTTGAAGATTTTCCATAGAAAATAATTTTTGGAGAGAGAAAAAATAATCGTATTTGGTTAAATGTATTTAGGACCTTCAAGACTTGGGTTCAACATTAAGTAGTTTAGTTTATTTTTTATTCGCTGTTGGTTGTAGGCATATAAAACATTTTTTATTTTAAGTTTATGTATTATTTCAAATTTTTTATTAGTTAAGATATTAAAACACACAATCAAATAGTTTATGTATCAATTAGACGATATAACCCTAGTTCAGGCACTAATCAGCCATTTAGCTGCATATCACCAACAAAGATTATTGTTTAGCTGGCACGATGTCGGTCATAGACACTTAAAAAGCTTTTTATTACCAGTTCAAGTATCAACTTCAAATTTTTTTATTAGTTCAGATATTGAATCATACAGTCAAACAATTTTGATATCGAATAGACGATATGACCCTAGGTTTTTTTTTTTTTAACTCATAATCAAATTTTCATTCACCAAAGAGGAAGTACATGATTTACACCACACATAAGTGATTCAACCACACTTACAAATTGAGAAATCTAGTATCACTTAGTCACTCACTTGGACCCTAAACTACCCGATGTAAAACTCAGTTGTAATTCCACCGAATGAGGACAACACTCATCCTAAAACCATGACAAGTTGCCTCTTAGACCCCTACTTTCGACCACACAAACAGAGATAGCAACTTAACCAAAAGACAATGAGGCTGAACCGGTTTCAACTTAAACTCATATTGATGATCATCTAAAGTTTTGAATTTAGTTCGAAATCACCATAACTTCACCGTTGGGCGCATATCAGTCTGTGTCCCACTACTCTAGTTGTCACCTTCCTGTTCCTTAGCCATAAAAACCGAATATAAGGTCCAGGTGAAAGGCAGCTCTTGACTACAGAAACGAGGCAGGAATTCAGAATCGCAGCTAGAGGAGATGCGACATTCGTACCACCGGACTCGCTGGCGCTAGTAAGTACTACCACCGCTGCGCTTCACCACCAAAGCCCTCTCCGGTTGACAACTCCATTGGCGAGGGTCCTTGCCACGCGTCACCTCCGGAAACCAAAGGACGAATTCTTTCATCGCTGTCCGTTCCTACCCTATGACCCTAGTTAAAGGCACTAATCGGCCACTTATGTTTGTCTCTATAATAGCATTTTGAGCTAAAATCACTCCATCTCTATTCTATTTTTTCCTCTAAAATAGAGATTACTATTTTCACCTCTATGTTTAGAGGAAGAAATCACATTCTTATTTAATAAAGGCATACTTTTTCATTCACAAAATGGTCCTTTAACTTTTAATTTTAATTATTATAACCAAAAGTAAATATTTTTTTCTTGAAATATATTGTTTTTTTGTCATCAACAAACACATAGACTCTATGAAGACTTTGAAAACCAGACCGGTAGATCTGCATCCATATGAACAACGAAAGACGGTTTCTTCCTAGCACTACTTGCCAGACGATTCACCTTGTTATTCAACGTTCTTGGTATATAGATGATGTCTGAATGAGTAAAATTCTCTCTAAGGATCCTGATGTCTTCTAAATAGTTGCAAAGGCTGACCATTCCTCTGGTGTAGATACCATCTTCACCAACTAAATACAATCCATCACAAAAGTAACATGGTATTGATGAAAATTCCTCATACTTTCCATTTCCCAAATGAGAGCTTCTATCTCTGAATATAATGGTGATAAACTGGCTCTCGTATTTCTTGCTCCTGTCAATCCTAGAAAACCTTCTAAAGTACTATACTATCTCTGTCCAGAAAATAAGTCTTTATATTTCCAGTATCCATCAGTCTTGAAATATGTTTATTATATAAATATAATCATACTTTTATTTGCATAATAATTTGTATAGGAATTTTTATTGTAAATGATATCATAAGTTTATGAAATATTAAAATAAATTGGATTGGTTTTCAACTTTGACAAATGAAAAATATTATTTGTAAAATTTAAAAAAGTATATTAAGATTACTTTTTAGTGGAAAAAATAGAGGAATACATTGATGATATTTATTTCTATAATAGAATTCCTCATTTTAGAGGAAAAAAATAAGGGAATACATATTGGAGATGGTGTAAGCCTCAAAAGAGCATTACTAAAAGATGAGATAATCTGAATTATGAGATGGCGAAAGTAGTACTCGCTTGGGATGAAGCAACAAGATAAAGGATCCGAAGGCGTGGGAGGGTGTTATCGTAATTAATCTAAATCTGATAGAGACAGAACACAACGCAAGTCCTTTTCTCTTTCTCCGCTTGATTTTTTTCAATTCCGCGTCCCTCTCTGTAGAAAGAAGTCGAAAAGATCTAGAGAAGAAAATCCTGGCGTAAATCTCGTTAGGGTTTTTCAATTTGCGCAAAAAACATTTTGATCTCTGTCTCTCACTCTGAATGGCGGGTTACAAAGCAGATGATGAATACGATTACCTTTTCAAGGTGGTTCTGATCGGTGACTCTGGTGTTGGAAAGTCCAATCTGCTTTCACGATTCACCAAGAACGAGTTTAGCCTCGAGTCCAAATCAACCATCGGAGTCGAGTTCGCGACTAGGAGCTTGAATGTTGATGATAAAGTCATCAAAGCCCAGATTTGGGATACTGCTGGTCAAGAAAGGTCTCTTCTTTTTGTCTCCATACGTCTCTCATTTTGCTTTATCTCTTCCAAAATTATAGATCTAGATTTGCAGCTTGAGAAACCAAAACATTAGTTACGTAACAGAGGTAGGTCAGTTTCTGTAATTTCATCTCGATGATTCGCGACTCTTGTTCTCACTTGAGAGATTGCAAAGCTTATAATATCATATTCTATGTTTCTTCTTCTTCGCCTTAACGATTGTGATCAAAACGTTTCCAGCTTTTTCGATTTTTTTTCTCTTATTTCGCATCTAAAAGAGCTTAGGTATATCTTACTGCGACTAGTTTTTAAGGTGAGAAGCTTTTTGCTTTCTCAATTACGGCCTGCGTTCTGTGATTGGTTATAATGGGTTCGTTTTCATAGGTATCGAGCCATCACTAGCGCATACTATCGAGGAGCTGTCGGAGCGCTTCTTGTCTACGACGTAACCCGACACTCCACATTTGAAAACGTGGAGACATGGCTCAAAGAACTCAGAAACCACACCGATCCAAACATTGTAGTCATGCTCGTTGGCAACAAATCTGATCTCCGCCACCTCGTGGCTGTTCAGACAGACGATGCCAAGTCATTCGCTGAGAAAGAGTCTCTTTACTTCATGGAAACCTCGGCTCTCGACTCCACTAATGTTGAGAAAGCTTTCGCGGAAGTCCTCACTCAGATTCACTGCATCGTGAGCAGAAAGGCCATGGAAGCTGCGAGCGAATCCGCTAATGTTCCATCGAAAGGAGATAAGATCGATCTTGGTAAAGATGTTTCTGCAGTGAAGAAAGGTGGATGCTGCTCAAACTAGTAAGAGAGTGGACCTTGGTTTGGTGCTAGCGACCGGATGATCGGTTTCTCTTAACGGTTATGTTGTTCAAAAGTGGTTCGAATATGAGAGATTACTCTTTTGATGTATTTCTACTGATTATATAAATTAATCGATGTTCTTGCTTGAGATATGATTTTGAATTTTGATGTTGTCAAATTCCCAGAACTCTATTATCTAAGAAAAATAGAGATAAAAGTGAGTTTTTGATGATTCCGTTCGGTTTGTAAAAGTTTGTTCTGTTTTTCTTTGGCAACAAGACCTCATATTTCAACAAAAACTTCAGATTTACACCGCTAAACGTAGCTTATTTTGCAAGGCGATCGCTAGCGAAATAATTACAGATGACCAATTTTCTTTGTCAGTCATCTTGATTAGTTGTAGGTAGTCTGCCCATGGAGGTATGAACCAACTGGAGAAAAATATTTCATAGTCCACATTAAGCGAAAACAAGACTTCCAATACTAGCGAATTAACCGAATTTCGTTATTCCTTCCTCTGATTTGATCACCAAGACTCCTCCAAAGTATGTCCTTGTGCCATGAGGCATCAAATTGGCAGCAAGGATCTCCGGTTGGCTTAAGCATATTGCACCCCCAAGTTCGTCTTCTTCCAAAAGTCAAATCGATACAATCTAAGGCTGGTTCAGGAGTTTTTTTAACAAATACATAGGTAAAAATATTAATATTCAAAAAATTCTAAAAATAACAAAATTGTACAAAATCATTCTATGATCTTTCATATGATGAGACCTTTCTACTACAATTTTCATTTCCAAAAGTGTATATACCAAAGAAATGACATGTGCTTCGAGTTTTCACCAAACTAGTCCAAGACCTTCTAAATGAGTAAATTTATCGGAACATAGAACATTATCGTTGTATTTGACCCAAAAAAAAAAAGAACATTATCGTTGTAGATATCTATTTTTGTTCAAAAGATATTCATGCTCCATGATTAAAGTCGGATGATTACGTAGAATGTCAATAACCTCATCAATTTGGAATGGTCAAACTGAGAGAAAGAATCAATAAGAGACAAGAAACAGCACAAATAAGCAGTCCAATATATATTTACCTAATTAAAACGATCATTGAACTAGAATGTCGATAACCTCATCAATTTTGAATGGTCAAACTGAGAGAAAGAATCAATAAGAGACAAGAAACAAAACAAATAGCAGTCCAATATATATTTACCTAATTAAAATAATCATTGAACTCTTGAAGTTACAAATCCAAATTTAAATCTAAGCAACTGATCCTACGATGATGTCCATTTGTCACTCCTGATTTCTTTTTGGTTTCACTGAGTCAACGAAATCTTCCTCTATGTTAAGGTCTTCAATACAATGTTTTTAACAGAAAGATGAATCTTTCATCAATACGCTAATTACATCAATCATCTCCAAACTTTTGCAAAGGTCTTTTAGTTGATTTCATTAACGATATTTCATTTAAAATCTCTTGATCTTTTTTGTAAATCTTTGGCAACACTATTTGTGATTTCTAAAAGGTGCACCATCACTTACAAAAATAACACAAAATCAAAGTTATTGATGTATTTAAGAGGACCATGTGCTCGTCGTCTTTTCGAGTCTTTGAAGCCATCCTTCTGAAAACATTCAAATACCTTGATGATAAAAGAAAAATACTCAGCTACACATAGTAAAGTTCTATGGTGAAAGTCCCAACAGGTCACTAATATGCTCAAATTATCTCTTTAAGCTGCTCTGCAAATTCAGAGGTGCAAATACAACCCTTATAGATCGCATCCACATAGACTCTAAGATTACACAATACACCTTTGTACTCAAATTAAACTAGAACACAATAGTTGTAATGCACTAATTAAAAACAGTGTAAATTGTGGAAGGAAAACGCTAGATTTAGGAATACAATCAGGAAATCAAAATTGCAGTCAAACAAATATCAAAGTATATGAACAATATTTCTGTCTAGATCCTAGAATCCCAAATTACTTTGCGAATTCATAAAAACTAAGATACACACTAAGATCAGATTTGATAAATTCATTAGATACCTAAAGCAAATTTCCTTGCGAATAGTTATTTAGCTCATCATGATTAATTCATGTTATCAATAATTCTTTTATGTCTACCAACTTTCCTATGATTTAGATTATCATGGTCTTAATCTAAATTTAGTATTAAGAAAACCCAAGTTGAATAATAAAATATAAACTCTAACAATTTATTTTAACAATTCATCAATCGTATGAAATCCCTAAATTTAATTGGTGGATTACTTAGACATAATAAAAGAACACATGAGAATGATGAAGTCTTCATAATTATATTAAAGAAATAAAACAAGAGTTCAAAATCAATCTCGGAAGGATTTCTAATATCTTTCTCCAAATCTAAAATAAACCGTAGGCTAAACAGTGGCTTATTAAAACATAAAGTAGGTCTAAAACACGAGTTGGACACTTTTGTAAACACTGAAAACCTTTAAGCCAAATTGAATTTTTTTTGAAACTTCATTAAACTTGCGCCGGTTCAACTTGTAAATATGGGTATTGACCAAAACAAATGAGAGTATCGATCAACACCATTAAACACACGTCGGTTCAACTTGATCTTTTCAGCATCATTTCTCTTCAAGCTCCAAATATTTCAAGAATCTCCAAAGTATTCCAAAACATACCCAGACCTGCAAACACTCTAAAATGATTCCAAACATATAATAAAGACTCTAAATATATGACTTATATCATGGTCAAAACCCATAATAAATTTGATATATCAACTCTCTTAGACTTATCATTTGCTTGCCTTAAAAAAAAACAAAGGTCAAAATTATGGAAGAGGTTTGAAAACGCAGGAACTCACATATTCTTTAGAACCATCACTTTCACCATTACCTGTTGCAAGCCACATCAAATTTTACTGACCTTATAAGGAACTTCCATGTAATAGACCTCAGTTTAGAAAACAAACAATTTCAGCCCACAGCTCATAAGATACCATCTAAATTTTCCTCCGTTGAACTCATTTAAGAGTTTAAAGTGCAATATTATCTTGGGAGTATCAATCATAAGATATGTAGACTTTTATCCATTCAGATTTCTGACCACACATACCATCTTACTCTGGTTCATTTCTTCTCTCTCTCTTTTTTATTTTTACTTCTTTGAATTAGTTTCTCTTCTTTTTTTTTAATTTATTTTTCATGCTGGGAAAAGTGTAGGCGAATAATGAGCTCACATGAAATTTTCCTACCGTTCACTTCCAAATATGTGTGATCAGTTCATTCAAAGTAAGGTAATGAGGTCACAAGAACTTTTTGTACCGCTTTACTTCACAGGATATCATCTCAATCTTTTATTTTCTCAGTTTTTAGATTCTGAAGGGAAGAGAGAAGGGAACCATAGTCACACAGACATGCCTTTTAAGACCTGAATGAGGAATCCGATACATTGTATACCAAACCTCAAGATGAGAGATTGAAGTTGATTAATGTTAGATACCAGTTTTGCATCCTTCAAACACTCTCACAAACATGGTTAGATCGATCCACTTGTGTTTTTCAACAAAAAATAATTTTTACATCAAGTGCAAGAAGAGTTTAGTATTTCTTTTTCTTTTAACAGACAACATGTCTAAGTATCTGGAACTTTACTTCCAAACCAAGAAAAGGAGAGTCCAACTGAACTTCTTTAGAATATTCTTTCTGAGAAGGCTAAATTTATTTCTTACACTCTTTTCCACTAACCGCCTTAGCACGTGAACCATAGTACGAGGCTCCCTATGCCTTCTTTGATTTTTCTCCCACCATAAAGCATGGACTGGACATTGCAGAGCATATCGTACACATAAAAATTCCGCCGCAGCAAGCCATTTGTCTATAATGATCTCCTTGAATTCCCTCCACTTGGTTGTATACGAACGCTTTAGGATTCCTTTCCTGAGGAACTCCCAAATCTGTGATGAGTAGGAGCAATCAAAGAAAAAATGGTCATGCGACTCCGGTTCAGAGTTACAAAGCTGATATGTCATGAATTTTACGCACTTTCAACCATAATTTAGATATGTTTTCAAAGTGCTTTATAGGCATTTGGAGTCTTTTTAAAGCAATTATAGGTTCAGGTACTTGTTTGAAGAAAATGATGTTTTGAAGACATTTTGGAGGCTTTGAGAGGTTCTGACGAGATGAATAATCGAGCGACGCTTAAAGAGCAACATCGATCGATGATCATCAATTATAATCGATCGATGCAAGTCCATTGCCATCGATTGACGCCGAGACCATTCGAGACTTAATGAAAAATTTAGAAGATTTCAAGTGTCGCTTAAGTTTCATTAATTACATCTTAAGTCTCTGGCCGTCTGCTAGGATATATTATTAGGATTTTGTACTACTTTAGAGGCAAACTTGCCTATAGACCTTCTAGACCTAGTTTGGTGAAGAAAAACTTTGGTTACCATTGAAGAGAGAGCTTAGGATTATGGAGAGACAAATATGATACTACAAAACAGAGAAGATCTTGAACTCCCTTGCTTCTATTACTCTTTATCTACTTTTGTTCCTTACTTTCATATAAGTTTTGTTCCTTCTTTGTGGAAGACATTCCCAAACTACCCGATGAGCCCTTCGCAGAAGTATTATTGGATGATCTAGTGGAAAACACGTCTACCAGCACTGAAAAAGAATCATTCAGTTTAGACAGAAGAGAACACGACTACGCACATTTAATGGATGCTAGTACTGAAATTGCAAACGACGAGGATGACGATCCAGACATCGATATTGATCAATATCTGCGAGAGACCTCTGATCCACAACCACCTTCGCCAGTCAGTTGGAGCGAAGATAAATCACCAAAAGTCGAGCTTAAACCACTGCCTGCTGGGCTTAAGTATGCTTTCCTTTACAACAATTCCTAGCCTGTTATCATCAATGCCAACTTAACTAATGGAGAACTTCTGCATTTATTAAATAAATTACGCAAGTACATGAAAGCCATCGGGCATTCCCTTGATGACATTCCTGGCATCTCTCCTGACCTTTGCATGCACCGAATCCATTTGGAGGATGATTCTAAATCATCTGTAGAACATCAAAGGAGGTTAAACCCAAATCTGAAGGAAGTAGTGAAGAAGAAAATTATTAGAATTCTAGATGCTGGAGTCATCTACCCAATTTCAGATAGTAAATGGGCGAGTCTTGTACATGTTGTACCCAAGAAAGGAGGTATTACTGTGGTGAAGAACGACAAAGGACGAATTGATTCCT